GCTGTGCTGTGCTGTGCTGTGCTGTGCTGTGCTGTGCTGTGCTGTGCTGTGCTGGGTATTTCTTCTAAGACGCAGCGGGGTTCGTTATTAGTTTTAGGATTTTATTGTGTATTATTTAGTGGTCTGCCGACTGATAAAGAGATTAGAATGTATACATAAAGAAATTAACCTGAATTCTTCACACGCCTGAAACGTAAATGCGAATAACCACAGATCTAGAAACGGGGTAATGCGGACCAGAAGTCGTCTACAGTTAGCCTATATATCCAGTGACAAGTAGAATATAACTCAATAAACCTATCTTCCTTTACCGGTCCGGTATAAAGCTACTTTTACTACCAATAGACTAGTGACTACCACTTACTCCGACGAAGGACTAACGTCCGAAACGTCAGTTTCACAAAGCTTTTTACGGTGATCCAATTTATCCACAACTTCCTGCTGTTTTATTCAGAAACACCGACGCAGTCCACGCTAGTACTCTACTAGTTATCACCACTAGTGAATAGCAAGTTTAGTTAGTTAAGATGCTTCCAGTTATCAGGCGATTGCGCGTGTTTCACTGCTTGATTCATGTTAGAAACGATGGGATTTGAATGGCAAAATACTAACGCCCACCTGGCAGACAAGATTGGCGGGACATCAACTGGATGGCGAACAGTGTCATCAATAGCAGACCATAATGTTAATGCTTAGTGTTCATGGGTCAAAAGCCTGGTCCCATCGATCCTAAATTCCTGTACGTGCGGTAATAACACTGAGACTCTTCCCTTGCAAGGTTCGCGAGCCTCATGCACCTTCAACTGCGCATATATTAAGAAAAAATCCAGAATGTTCGCTCGTAACGCAAAGAACACTGTGAGCGTTTTTTTTGAGCATTTTACTCTCAGCTTGCGAGGTGATTTCTGAGCAGAAAGAAACAATGAAACCTATCTATTATCATTATCATTTCCTGGTTTGTGCGGTAGTTACTATCAAATCACTGCTGGCTGACAATCAACCAATCCCACGTTTACTCATTAACAAATGAAAAAGAGACATTTGAAAAAGGAAGAGAGGATTTAATGAGTCAGGTTTAGGAAAGAAAGCATAGAGCGGTTTCCAATTGTCTTCATTAGGCCTAACACTATAATTGTCAGTATGGAATATTAGTAAGGAGAACGTCTTAGTGGATAGCTTATGATCATGACTAGTCTTTATTCAGTGTAGATTGAGATAGATATGTCTATATGGTGTGGGATGGTGTTGTTTATCGACTGACCCGACAACATGCATTCAGTTATTCAACAGAAAAGTATCGCGCGCAGTGCTATTAACAACTAACCCACACATACCTAAGGCAGTTGCATGGGAATTAACGTAATAAGGTAATAGTTTTACAGACCAGCGAATTCTACTCGTACTTTGATTGGTCGAAAATATATAGAATAGCCTTGCCTTGATGATGGTTGCTTTGCCTTCCCTTTGAAATGCAAGTTTCGTTCTAATAGTTCCTAGAAAGCTATCCATGGTCTTGAAATTTAAAAATTGATCTTAATGAAAGCGGGATTACGTAGGTTTACTTCGACAAGCTCTTATGTCATGCCCTTAGCGCCATAGTGGGAGGTTTACATAAGATTACCTCTTCCCTTCCGCCAGAGATTCGTTTTCGAGCAAAAGAGCAGAAATATAGGGCCCTCTCACGCGGAAGAAAGGGCCCTGCAAATCTTGTGAACATTTTACGCTTTATTCTCTTTCCTTGCACTAAAAAAGGAAAGTGAAATGAAATAGCTATGTCCTGTGTGTACATAGTTTAGTATTGTACTCAAGAGGCTAAGTTATAAATACTCAAATTTATAACTCTGCGCACGCTACCATACTTAATCTCCCGCCCTCGATCAAAACCACTTTCATAAGAAAATGAAACGACCGCTTATGTCTACATAGTGCGCTGTAAACGGTCTGCGTAAATAGAAATGGACGCGCTCAAGAGAACCTTTTAACATAAAGTGGAGTGTGGTACGCAAACGTTCATGTGGTAACCCTGCGTTTAATCGGATTACAGCACGCTATAATTTTGACTTCCGTGGCATAAAAACTTACTAGCCTACGTACGTACTGCCCTCTGCATCTTGACATTAAACAGAATAACGGTCGCGGAGAGCATTTATAACACGCTACTAGTAATAATAGAGTCCAGCTGAGGTAATATCACACCTACATAAAATAATCGTTTTTGGTTGGCTGGTGGGATTAATTGCACACATCCAGGATCAAATGGATTAATGGAGGGTGGAAGGGATGGAAGAATGAATGAAAGAACGTCTAAATCCCTCCTAGTCCCCCTCGGTATGAACCACTACCCATCGGATCGAGAGAGCCTGGTTCTAGCCACATCAGCTATCCAAGATGGCGGCCAGACGTGTTTATAAGAACACATAAAGAACACCAAAAAATACTCCTGTAATGTCACTCACTAAACCGGCAGAAATAATTACAAAACTATGATATATAATTATCAATATTCAATCACATATTGAGTGTTAATATTGGAAAAATGTCCCGTCGGACAGACGATAAGGCAAAGAAGTTCGTCGACTCAGTGTTTTCTGATCTACGGGCTTTGTCTAATGAAACCAAAAGAAAATTCCACCCAGTAAAAGAGGTAAGTTATTAGAACGTGTATCTGTATATCCAGCTATAAGTAGACAAGGCTGGGGATTATATTATCACGGCGGGAAACGTCTTGATCTCAAGGTGTATGTTGTGACAATAAGATATTGGTCTCTCTCGTTGTATTATTATGAATTATCTACTTATATTTATTTCTTTATGGCCTGATTTCATTACCTTTCTTTGTGGATATTAGGCAGCTGAGGCTGGTATACAAAGGTTGAAGTCAATCTCAGCCAGAAATCAAAAGATCACCACTGGTACGTATGTGATGCGGTTCATAAACAAGAAATATCATAAATAACTTAGCGAGAACTTACTGCTAGTAACAAACTTATCTTATCCGCTTCTATCTCTTCTCGTTTCCTCCTTATTTTCCCCTCTTAACGGATATGATAATATGCTGTATGCTATACATATTATAAACAAAAGTTCCCTCAATTAACTAAAATTTGGACCTATTAAAGTGTTATCAGTGTTTTGTCAATGGGGAATTCGACATTGCAACTTTCAAATGATTTTAGTTTACATAACACAAGAAAACGTACATTAACTCAAGCATTACTTACGATATACAGATGTACACACTTGTACAATCATACTAAAAAGGAACTTCAATATGTATGAGCAGCAGATGCAATAACAGACAATAATTGCTCTAACAACTAGCTGTGTTTGATTGGATAAGACACTATTCCATTGTTATAGCATACCACGTACAGGCCCTATACTACATGCCAAGATTCAACATATAACATAAATACTAACATCTAATTAAAAATACTTACTGGATTTTACAGTTCCTGCAAATGAAAAAGAAAAGTTACAGTCATTTTTGTTTGTTTATATGTCAATAAAAATGGGAAGAACTACGGTGTATATGAAATACCCTGCAAATCATATGCAGTAATTTCTTGAATAATTCTTTATAGAACAAGGCATAAAACCATAGATGTTATAATAAAAATATCATTCTATTAGACACACACACACACACACACACACACAC